CTCTTTTGGCCCTCTCAATTCCCAGCTTTATGCTCCCTAAAAGCTTTCTCTATGGCTGTTTCAGAGAAGGGCTGTGGGTAAATTCGGCTGTTCTCAGCACTACCATTATCATTATTTTTTTACCTCCTGACTCTATGTAAGTCCCCCGCCCTCACTTCCACTGCACCAACCATTCCCTGTTCCTAGTGCAGAATGCCCTAGACACAGTCAAATAGTCTTCCAGCCCTTGAAGGCTTTGTGTTTCACATGAGGTAAGCATACCAAAAGCGTAAATACAAAAGTCTGTTTCAAAACACCAAGTATGAAAGAGATCAGCTACATGACTTGAAATAAGTTGATACCAGTGTTTTAAAACTTTTGTGAACTAAAAGACATCAAAAGAGTTCTCTTAGCGGTTCAGTGGTTAAGAGTACATACTGCTCTTCCAGAGGACTGAGGCCAGTGTCCATCCACCGTATCAGCAGCTTACAACCAACTCCAGGGTGGTCTGACACCTCTGGCTTCAGAGGGTATCTGTACACTATGGCACATACACATCCACAGAAACATACTTATACAGAATAAATATAATAAAAATATTTTAAGTTTTCTTGCGAGGTAGAGGCAAAGTGATTATACACTGAAGCTTGGTCTGGTAGAAGGACTGTCTCCAAAACACAAATACACACACACACACACACACACACACACACGATTCAAATGGTAGACTTCTATGAACACACTTGCAGGCTCTTCTGAGGACCCATATGTGAACATTTTTTTTCTGCTTCTAAAGTAAATAGCCTCTCTATTCCCTCTCATCTAACACAGATATTCCCTGAATCAGGATTACCCTCTGCCACTTTTTAATGGGAGAAAGTCATCTTTATAGCTCATGAATAAAACATTAACCAACTCTGCTAAGTACTGACAGAAACCTAAAGCTAACAGCTACCCAGGGACCAACCTGCTTTGTTCACACAAACTGCTGATTCAAGAGGGATGCCAGCCAGATTGGTCTGCATGAAAGAGTGATAGGAAGGAACATCATCTAAAGACCTCCATCACTGTTGGGAGCTAATGAGATATTAATATTTCAGAAACAACAAGGATGGTGAGGTCAAGTGTGGAAGAAGTAGTTAGCCAAGACTCACTGGGCATCATCTGTGTCCTGCTTGGTATATACACACTGGTCTCCATAACACAATGAATGCAGTACTGTCATGTGTCTATTTGCAGTTGTGAATGTCAAAGCTCTGGCATGGCACTTTTCTCAACTGTGGAGGAGGGACTTGACCTTATATTGCTCTGACTCCGGAAGCACTTGTGTTATACAGCATTGTTTCTCAGGTTTAACACAGGAAAGAGGTACCAAAAGAAAGATGGCTGCCTTCGATGGCACTGGGTTCTTAGCAAAACAATTACAGTGTGTTTTCCACGCCCTCCAATACAGCAAAAATACAAAACCTTCATCAATAAAGACTGAAGACAAGAAGTGTTTTTACTTAGAGAAAACTGTCATTCTGTGCTTTAAGCACTGTCCTGAGAAGAGGGATTAAAGCTCCTGTCTATTTCACATAAGAATCAACTTTAGATGGTATAAATGGCTGAAATTTGGGGTATGGAGGCCAATTTTCCCCCAGAGTAATTTGAAGGACTTAAGGAGTGCTCAGTATACCGAATGTGCTGGAGAAATACGTGGTAAATGAATTAAAATCTGATCTAAGAAAGAAAAACAGGTAGTGAGTATTTCAGCTACTGAGTTCTCCAGTGATAGATGTTTAGGAAATAGGGTTCTGCATTATTCTTATCCTTGGGGCTGTTATGTAATAGCTAAGTAAGCTACTCTCCCACGTGCCATAATAAACATGTCCCAACCCTCATCTCGTTTGACCACTGTATAAGAGCAGAACAAGTTTGCAGAGGTTAAAGCATGCTCAGTATCCCAAACATTAAGTGGTAGTGCTGGAATTCAAAATCTGGGCTCTCATTAATTTCATTCCTGGCTATACCAGGAAATTTCAAGGTATTTTTCCCATTAGGATAAATTTATACCTAAATCTAATATCTGTATCAAAGGTTAGCACTTGAACAAGGGAGATATTCTTCTCTAGCAAGCACCAGTTTCCATGGAAATTGTATCTAAGGGTTTTGGGCATTATGACAGTTATGTGTTCAAGCTACATCTGATCTGTCACTTACAAGACAAAGTCCAAACTGCTTAGCATGGTATTTAATATACAGTGGCCTGCCCCCTAGTATCTATGGGGAATTGCTTCTGGTATCCATGCAAACAAGAAAGGCTGCAGATGCCCACGTTGCTTTATAAAATGCTTAGTATGTACATAGAACCTGTACGCCCTCCCACACACTTACCTCACCTCTCGCTGATTAGCATGCCTAGTGCAGCTCCAACGCTGGGCAAATAACTGTTGTACCAGATGCTCAGAGAACGAGGACAAGAGCTGTCTTTAGATGCTCAGCAGACAGAATTTTTTTTTTCCAAATGTTTTTTCACCTAAGGTTTTCTTTTTTTTTTTTTGAATCTATAGATCAGAACCCAGAGGTACAGATGGCTGATTGTATTTTATAATTGGAACATATCAATTATTTTTTCATATCAGGATGGTTTTTGTCTGTTTATTCCTCTTTATTACTGCCTATATTCAACACATTTTTTTCATTTTGTTTTTTTTTTTTTGGTTAGATTTTTTTTTCATTTTTTTGAAACAGGGTCTCACTATGTAGCCCAGGCTGTCTCTGAATGAGTGTCAATTCTCCTGCCTCAGCCTTCTTAGTGTTTAGATTACAAGCATGTGCTATCATACCTAATTGTATTTCCATCTTGGCTGTTCATCAAGCCATCCATCTGTCAATATGTCTAGGATGTGGTTAGTCCCAGGAGGACCACCCTGCTATATCTCTATCTTACAGTGTCATGAAAGAGAATGAAAGGTAGACCTACCTACCTCCTGCTTATTGTGTAGGCTATTCTTCAAATTAGTTCCTCTTCCATGAAGCTCCCTGAGTCACATGGCCCTTTTTAATCTCCTTTGCCTTTCATTCTTATCATATGTGCCTGTATCACAACTCACATATAACAAAGTCCCAGTTCAGGGGGAGTTGTGTTCTAGAGCCAGTGTGACAGGGCAGAATAGTCAAAACTGCCTTCACAAAGCCTATAGGAAGATAGTGTCACACAGGAAACACTCTCCCAATGGGCTCCTCACAGCTCTGAGTGTGAAAGGACTTGTTGTTGCTATGGCTAGAATGCCAGAGAACTCTTCATTTAGTGTCAATATGTCCAGTATAGTTACACACATCCTGAGATGTTTCCAGAATGACAGCCATGAGACCTGGCTGACTCAGCACTGCAGGAGTTCACTGCCACCTCAGCTGTCACTCTGGGCCTGTGACCACCATGGCTAGAGCCATCTACACCATTGTCTCTTTCACATAATTGTATGTAGAATGCAGCTGCACTGGCCCATCTCTCAAATGGACATTCAACTAGAACTTTCTGGAGCAGATGAACTATGTCGAGCACAACCCAGGCAGAGCCTGGTTGAACAGGGCCACCTCCACAATCCCTGGGTGTACAAAATGGTTCACAATGCTCCTGCCTGTGCCACAGTCCACTTTTATACTGTCCACATTCTGATTTCATTCAACACTCTTGTTCCACAAACAAGACTGATTATGACACACACCCTGTCTCCTTCTGTAGCATTTCTTCACTATCATTATATCGAGCAAACATTTATCCTCAACACTCCACTCAAGTGTGTCCTTGTGACTGATGGATTGATCAGACCAACATCTCTATTATCACCCTCCCTCCAATCCTCATCCTTTGGCATGTGAGTCTTCAGTGGTCCTCCAGTCTGACTCTGGACTTGGCCAGTGAGGTGCTTTGAGCAATTTATTCTCAGTGAAAGAGACCTGGGCAAAGGCTGGGAAAATGTGAGTGTCCACACTACCATCTTGCTTGTCTGCTGCCACCAAGAGGAAAACGTTTCTGTCTTATGATGAGTCAGTGCTAAGTACACAGTCCTAGAAGCAATTCACCATCAGCCAGCTTCCAGAGCTGCAGACATGAGCAACTCCAGCCAGCATCACTAATGGTCTGCAAACACATGAGTTAGTCTGGAGGCCATAACGGCTGTCCCCAAGGACTTGCTCTACGAAAACTCTGCTTTTGCTAAGGATTACTAATGTTGCAATGGAGGAGTACTTCTCTAAAGATTTCCTGGTCCCTACTGAGGAAAAAGTGGCTGTTCTTTCGCTGGTACAGCCTCTGGTACATATGCTGCCTCTATTACAGACAGCGTGCTATAGCACTGTGAACATCTGATAGCTGAGTCGCAATAGGCTTGTGTTTGTTTGTTCACTTCTCCTCCTAAGACTGTCCTTGCCAAGAACATCTCTGGGATGGAGTGAGGCTTAGTCAAAATGGTTTGGGCACATCAAGACAGGAATCATGGCCCTGGAGAGTAGAGCATTTCTGAGACCATAAAATGAGGGCTGCGGAAGCAACTTTGCAGTTCCCAAGCAAAAGAGCAAACACACAAAAACTAGGCAGCCAAGGCCAGGCCACTTCGGAGGGCTCAAGAGATTATTTGGCTAAGTGAATTAATGACCTGACTCCTCCATAGTGAGATTCTCAGGAGGGGGCACCAGAAACATCTTTTATCCCATTTCCAACTCCTAATACCAGAGCTGCCTTTTATCTGATTTATAACTAAGAAGGTCATTGTTTTAATATATTAACTCCACTTGTACAATGAAGAAATACCAAGTACATCAGAGGATGAGGTTTGCAACTTAACATCAGCACAGAAGTTAAATCCATCCTACTTTACTTAAAACCAGGAGTTTCCTATTTGCTTTGTAAGTCTGTTCTTTCTGCAGCCTTTCTAGGGGATATGCATAGTGGTTTTGAGCATCTTGCCTGTGCTGAGAAGGCCCATGAGTCCTCCCAGCAGGCTGCACTCTTCCACAGGAGAGGAACAGGTACTCACCTGTCTGGAGGCAGGGGGCCATCCTTCATTGTCACTGCAAGAACAAGAGGCAGAGGAAAAGGTGTTGGTAGCAGTCTGGTTAAAGTGAATGATGCTCCCACCCTGATATCCAGAGGACTGCCTATCTCTAAACAGCAGAACATCCCGATATATTCTGGTGTTATTTCTGGGCACTTTGACCTCCATAAGGATGGGAACCCATGTGTGGGTTTAATCTCTTAATTGCTTTTTTTACCACATGGACTGGCAGAGAGAACTACTCACCCTGTGTTCTAGATGACACTCAGATCCACTGAGCATGTGCGGTGTGCCAAGCACGGTCAAAGTACTTTCTCACAATAATTCCACAAGATTAGAGGTACCACAGCCCCTGCTTCACAGGACAGGAAATGAGACTCACTGACTACCATGCTCAACCTGAAATGGCTGCTGGTAAGAAGCTGAGATCCACAAAGCGTGTTTTATCCCAAGAGACTTAGTGTTTTGTTTCTAGACAGTCATCTTCCCTTTTGTGGCAATAGTCTGAAGCCTGAGATCTTTAATAGTTATAAAAAATCATAGCCAGGCATGGTGGCAGACACCTTTAATCCTAGCACAAAGGAAGCAGACATCTGAGTTCAGAGACAGCCTGGGCTACACAGAAAAATACTGTCTCATAAACAAGGTGGGGTAGGGGTGTGTGTGGGGGGGTGGGGAATCACAGTCTTCTCTGGCAAGGAGCTGCCCCATTACCAGTACACACTTATGAAAGCTCTGTCTCTGCATTTAGACTTTTCTTACAAGGTAAAGCTGACGGTGACCTGTAGTGCAGGTTCTTAATGTGCACATGGTTTCCTGTGCCAGCATGCCACTACCTGCTCAAAAGGAAAGTGTTCAGTCTCCCTTGGGATGACAAGCTCTAAGAATGAGGTTTTTTTAAACTCAGGTGATTCTGATGCTGGGTTCATTATGAGAGCCACTGAGCGTAGTGGTTAAAGTCATCTGTAACCTTGTGTTTTTCCATATGACCTCTTGGTTTCCAGAAATAACAACTCTGAGATTGAACTATGTATGGATAAATGCGTAGGCCAAAAGCTTGGGTCTGCTCCCCAACTAGCTCATAACTTAGTTATCCATGTATTCTACTCTATGAGCGCACAGGGCTAGTTACCTTTCCTCAGGTTCATGTGACTATCTCCATGAGCATTCTGGGGCAAATCTCCTGAGTCTGACTATTTCTCAGAATCCCACCCCTTCTTGCTCTCTCTGCCAGAATTCTCACCTCCTAGTTCCTGCCTCAACCTATTGGCCAGAGGCTTTTTTATTGACAGGTGATGTTTCCATACATCATGTAAAGATTTTTTCTACATCTGAGTTAGGGAAATTCAACTATGAGGATGCCTAAAGCAGACAAATGAACAATCAAAGCCTGTATTAGCTCTGCTACCACACCATCTGCTGGCACCGACAGCATGGTAAAACAAACGCTCACACATCACCCACTACACAGAGCCTCGAAGTGTGCATCCCCCCTTGCTCATTGGAGGAACAAGAAAAGGTGTTTAAGAAATCAGGGCGATGACACTGGGGTAAGAATGGAAAGGAACAGAGCTGTTCCTTTAAATAGCTGAGGAAGAGACAAAAGAACACAGAAAAATGTCTTCCAAGCATGCTTTACAGCCCACAGAGGATACACGTCATGGGGGTGTGAGGGGACCAGAAAATAAGTCAGGTTAACCTGACATGGACTCTCCCCCCTTCCTCCTCTTCCTCCTTCACTGGCTGTTTACAGCACAGGCTGTTCAGTGCACACAAAGGTTCGCTGCTTCCTAACTTGAAGACTTTTCATTTTCTTCCTCTTGGCCAGAGTCCCAGTGATGCAATGTAGTTCTCTTGGGGGAAGTGGACTGGCTCAGGTGCGATACAGGGCCAATCCCTACACATGTGTCATTTCATGGGCAAGCTGCCACAGTCCGCGTGTGCAAACAGCAGTAAAAATGTCCAGCCCCTTGGAGGAGAAGTTTGCTATGTGTGAGGGGGGAGGGATTGAAATGGAAAGGATATGTGGTCCAGGCACCTATGACTCTAGCTGGTCAGAGTGGGCCCTGTGTATCTTCTTACCTTCTTTCGGAGTCTTGGAGACAGCAGCTGGCTGCCTGTGGAAGGCATAGAGGTTCACGAATGGGGGCTTTGAGGGCTTCAGGGGAGGTAGACCGAGGGTCTCAATGGAAGGCAGTGGCTTTGTTTTGGGAAACTGGCGATGCCTGTTCTCTGGCTTTTCTAAGTACAAATAGGAAAACATGTAAAGTATTATTTACATTTGTGGGTAAAACTGACCAGCTTGCTGGCCCCTTGACTAGTCTCTATGCAGCCATGAGAACACACTGACCCCAACACATACCAGCTTACGTTACTGTCTAGTTGATCTTCAGTGTGGCCCAGTCACTGATCTGCTATTTCAGCACAGTTTGGATTCACACTTCCAGATTCCTTTCTCAGCAAGCGGCACTGCCCCGCTTCCCAACCTTTAGCACACACATCTTCCACTCACGCCACTGGTGCCTCAGAGATCCACCACTGACTTTAAAAGCTTTCTATGAGTCTTTCATATCCGAGACTCTGTGCATTTTTCTCCTTACTGTCGTATGCTGATTACTTTCGTACTAATTGCCACTTCTTATTTTAAGGCTGGACTCCAGTGACAGATCCCCTAAACAGTCTTGAGTTTTCCTGGAATCAAGGGTAGGACTAACCCTGCCTCTAGTCTGCATGCTCTACTGTATTGCTCAGGTTGTTGCTGCTTGAGGGGGAAACCAAGAATTTAATTAGTAAGTGCTTGGTGGTTAGTGGTTTTCTGTAGGACTCTGTGACACTACTGTCCTAGCTTGAAGCTCAGGGCCTACGTTGGGGGAAGGACTGTGATTACTCACTGAGAAGACTCCTAAAGGACTGGCTGAGCAAGTAGCATAGGCCTATGAAGCAGATCTCTGAATTGATCTAGAAATTAATCGCTGAATTTCTAGGGCCCTGACTTCAAGGTTTTTAGAATATATGAGTTCAGTGTCTTAGAATTTTCTAAATAGTCCCAATGGTGTGCATTTCTGTTTTCTATATTCATGAATACAACTTGAACATTCCATTATTATATGTAAAAATCATATGTGATTTCTCTTGGCAGAAAAGGACACAAATAGGGCACCTTCATTCTTGGCTAACACAATACAGTAATTGTTTATATAGGCCATCCACGCTAAGAGTAAACAAGTAGACTGGGTTGCCCATGTGTCTCTGGGAAGGTTATGTCCTTTGCAAGCTAAGAAGCAAGGGAATGCTTCCTTCTTGCCTTTCCACTAGAAGTCATTGCTCCAGAAGCTCACAGCCAAAATATCCTCTCTTTAGGAGTCAGCTGTAAGTTTGCTGTAATGTTGGAAATTTTAGTCCTAATCATACCTAGGAGGAGACATAGTGAAAATGAAATATTACTAACTAGGTTCTTGGTTTTCCCCCACCCCCAGCATTGTGTTAAGTTAATTTACATGGTTATCTCATTAAACTCTGTTCATAATTTCCTCTGAAGATGATCTAGTCTTTGCTTTTGTCCATAAACTTTTCTTTCCATTCATCTTATTCCCCATCCTTCTTCAGTACCCACTTTACTGTATTCTAGGTGTTACTGTGGGACCTAGAGCTAGAACCAGGAACAGAAACATAGTTCCTCTTCAGGAATTTTCATTATCATAAGAGGAGATTAATAATAAAGAAGGAACAAACAAAGAAGAGAGTTCTGGAGGTCTTCTTGGCATGTGAGTTAGGGGAAGAGAAGTCAGAGATGCAAGGATTAATGTGCAACAGCATTGTTAAAATTATAGTAAGTACTAAAGTTTCTAAAGTACTAAGTAAAAGGAAAAGTCATAGGATTATATGTAGCTCACTCATTATCCATCAAGCCAACTGACCATTCAGATACCACCTACTCACCTACTCATCCAGCCACTCACCTATTCACCCATCCATCCATTCACCCATCCATCCATCCATCCATCCATCCACCCACCCACCCATCCATCCATCCATCCATCCACTCATCCATCTATCCATCCATCCATCCATCCATCCATCCATCCATCCATCCATCCAATCACTAAATATTTGTTGAAGATTTCATCAACCTGATCTTCTTTTGCAGGGGTAAGTTGGTGAGGAAGGTAAGTTTTATCCTCTAAAAACTTCCTTCTTATAAAGGCAGACAACTGTATGGCAGTTTCCTGGACTGAGGCAAGTGACCTGAGAAAAATCAAAGAACTGCCCAAAGCCTAAGTGTAACAGGGACAGCAGAGATGATTTAAACAGCATCCGTCTGCTCAGAGCAGAGGACACAACAGCAGAGACTACAGAGGAGGAAAACATCACCTGGCCATCAAGAAGCTGGTAGGAGAATTTTCCTGATAGATGATTGACAATGCTCCGACCTGAGGTGGAGCTAACTAACATCTTATGTCTAAAGACTGAGCAGGTAAGGATAAGAGACAAGAAGGACAGAGAAGCAGGCAAGCACCACGATGTGAGGCACTGTTGCAAGGTTGAACAGATTTTTGAGCAGTAGTGTGATGTGGTCTGATTCATGTTATTTTAGAGGATCACTGTGTCTGTGGGGAGGAACACAGAATACAAGGGTGGAACCCTGTGGAAGTGGTGAGACCAGCTAGCAATGGCCCCATAAGAGAAAGGTATGGCAGAGACTACAGCCCGGAGCAGAGACAGCAGTTGAGGGGTTCTGAATATACTTTAAGGTAGAGTCAAAGAACCAGTTGACAGATTCAATGCAAAGAATAAGAAGGACAGAAGACTGGAGTATCCCTCTTGGGTTACTATCCTGAAAAAAAAAAAGATGAGTTCTGTGCTGTGTTTTCCACACAGAGAAGGCTGGTGCTGAATTTGATTCACAGAATATAGTGAGCTTTAAGAAGCTTATAAATCACCCACAGTTCACAGCTTGTGGAGGTAGAGCTGAGATTCAAGTCCAGGCTCAGCCAAACTCTGCCACAGTGTAATTCAGAATGAAACGCTTATTCAAACCGAGGACTACACTTTGACAGGCTGACCACAGCCATGCACTGTTTTTATTGCACAGACCACATACACTTCAAGTCTGCAGGCTTGGGATGATAATGGTCTCACTCCCAGTACCAAGGAGACTCAGTTTCTTACCTGGAACCAGGCTGTCAAGTTCACACTCATAAACAGGTTGGCATGGGTTGCTCTTGCGGCTCCCCTCAGTGCTAGGGCTTTCTGTGCTCTTCCTGCTGTACCGAGGAAGAGATAAACTGGGGGCTTTGGAGGCCATGGGTGATTTTCTCTGGATCATCAAATGGCTCTGGGGAGGAAGGGTCTGGACTCCTGTTGCCTTCAGGCTCTTCTCTGGCTTTCCTTGAGCAAGTTCCATGGTTTTCTGCCCTTCAAGATGGAAGGTCTTAATCCCACCATTGGTAAGGAGTGGAGCTGGGGACATTTCATTGTTCTGAGAGGAAACTTTCTCCCAGTTCCAAAGCTTGTATCTGAAGCTGCTGAGGGCCGTTCCTTTCTCCTCATTAGATGTCTCAGCTCTTGATTTACTCACATCCAATGGCATGCCAGCTTTCTGGAAATTTCTTTCAGGAAACACAGTAGATTTTTCTGGAGGTCCCGAGGAACTTGAACTCTCCTGAATTTCATCTCTCTGAGCTGACGTCACTTTCTGGTTTTTAAAAGGCAGAGATACTCCAGTGGAAGAAAAAGGCAGAGTTCGGTGGTGGTGGGATGAGAGGTACTTCCTATTAGCCAGATGCTGAGCCAGCTGTGTGTATCCTCTATCATCCTTTCGAGAAACACCAGCTGGAGACTTAATAGGTCTCAAAAGAGGTGTAGCATTAAGATTTTGAAATTTGTCTCGAAGTTCCTTGAAGTTTCTTACCCCTTCCTAAAGCATAAAGAAGAACAAAAGAATCTAGTTACCCTGGGGAAACATCCAGCATGACTAGCTGGCTTCATTGTACCTGTTAAATGTCTCCCATGGCTGATGTGACATTGTTGTTCCCCAGGTGAGCCACGTTAGCCTGTGCTGCTGCTGTCTATGTGAGATGAGTGTATGATTTTCTCTCTCTTAAATTTGGCTATATTGCGTATTCTCATGGCATGGGAGGACCAAGTAGAGACAATAATAGCAATTGATCATAAACCTTTTGGGTGTTTTGTGAAGACAGGATCTCACTATGTAGCCCTGCTGGCCTGAAACTCTGTGAGAACCAGGATCACAGAGGTCCATTTGCCTCTGCCTCCAGAGTGCTGGGATTAAAAGCACACATTACTATGTCTAGCTGATAAATTTTTAGATGGCTTTTTTCTTTAAAAAAAATTAGTTAAAATATTCTATGGTGTAGAACAACTGTCTTCATAATATAGTCTCTGTTTGCTCAAAAGATAATGAAATTTTCTCTCCTCATAACACAATTAAAAGATGACCAGTCTTTTACTAGAGTGGTTTACAATTGACCTGAAGACCTTGCCCTGCTCGCCATTCTGGCCTACTTGTACACTCCCATCTTCATGTCATGTTTCCTTTCACTTCCTGAATGATTTCAAGCTCATTCTCCATCGAGACTGCCTCTAGGAAGAACAGGTAGGACCAGCTGCTTCACCGCTTCCCTGATGCACTTATAACTCTTTATAACTTGGCTGTTGAAATTTCAGTGTGTTAAGAGAAAACTTGAGAAGGCTTATGTCTAAGTTCTGACTCTGCCTTCTCTCATCCAGGCAAACACGATGTGCAGCCTTGTCTTAATGTCACATGTAGTTGCTTAATATTACAAACACTAGAAGGATTGGAGTTACTACATAGAAAGTGTCCAGTACGGGGCCCAGCACATAGTAGGGCTGTGATAAATAAAAGCTACAGGAGGCTAGACAATATTCTTGTGTTAGTGGGTTCTCTTTGGAGAACAGGTCAAACTGAGCATATGAAAAGCTACCATACCATTTGGTAACGGTGGCTCAGGTCTAGGGCAGAGAGAAGGTAGGAGTTGGGGACAGTGAGGGAGTGTCCAGGACTACATAGTGAGTTGGCCGTTCATCTAGCCAAATAAGGTTGATTCTTTTTCTATTGTTCCCATTTCTCCTCTTAAAGCTCATTTCTTTTTGTAAGTGCATCCTGGCATCTGCCTGCATGGGAGTAGGAGGACATTTAACAGAATCATTTCAAAAAGTAAGAGCCATTTTCTTCTCCTGATCATGTTTTCTTTTCCTTTTCTTTCTTTTCCTCTTCCCTCCCTCCCTCCCTCCCTCCCTCCCTCCCTCCCTCCCTCCCTCCCTCCCTTTTTAAATTGCATGCCTTGGCAGTGACTTTGGATTTTCCCAGCTGCAGGAACTCGGTGTGACCTTTCCTCACCGTGTTTACAGTTGACTCACACCTGCCCTCTGAGGGTTTAGGAAGGGAGGGAAGTTGACAAGCAGCAAGAAGCAGGTGGCCATAAGCTGGATTTCACACCATATTCATTGCTCCTTTTCTTCCCCTCGCTCCCACTACATACCTCCACCCCAGCACTTGCTTATAGATCTTTCTCCAAATCTCCAATGCTCCGTTCCTTACACTTTAGTCAACAGACCAGCTAAATCATCTACGTGTCCTCTCTCCTGATGTGGAAGAAGCCTGTTTTGGGAGTGAAGTCAGGGATCCTGAGTGTGATGTCTCAGGTTAGCCCTTTTCCAGCCAGGTACCTTATAAGATCCTTTTTATGACTCTAACCTATTTTCTTTACTATAGAGAAGTTACTTGCTCAGATGAGACAGAAGGATCAGGAGTTCAGGGCCAGTCTGGGCTACTCAACGAGACCTGTTCTCATAAATCGTATAGGCAGGTGTGTGTGTGTGGGGAGGGGTAGGGATAGAAATGTACTTCTCATAACAGTTCAGGATCAAATAAGATAATAGATGTACATACTTCATGGTAAATACATATTCACATAACATGCATAACCTTAGCTACTGAAAGATTTCAGTTTAGCACCATGAGAAGGATTGGCATTGTTGTGCAACCGATTTCCAGTATTCTTCATCTTACAAATGAGAGTCTATATCCCTCAAACAATAGTTCTATGTTTCCTTCCCAGATCACTTTCTGACTCTGAGTCTAGCTCTTCTGGGTATTTAAACAAATGGAAAAATACACAGCATTTGTCTAGTTATTTAACTTAGTATGGTTAAATGACTGGTTATTTAAATTAGTGCTGTACCCTTAAGGTTTAGCCATGATGTAGTGTTTAAATTTCCTATCTTCTAGCCAGGCAAGCTGGCTCACACTTGGTGGGTCAAAGCAGGAGGGTCCTCTCTCAAGGCTAGTGGGGGGGTCATATACCTAGGTTCTTTGCATACTTTAGTTACTGGGCATTAGGCTTCTCTAAAACTCTGTGTACAAATGTTGTTTTGATGTCCTGCTTTCAATTCTCATGGGTGTATTCCCAGATATTGAATCCCTGGATCATATGGCAATTCTGTTTTGAAGCTGTTAGGAACCTCTATACTGGTTTCCATGGCAATCATATCATTTAACATTCCTACCAATAGTACACAAGGATTCTTATTTATTAACATACTCACCAGCTCTACTTCTCCTTTTTTTTTTTTTTTTTTTTTTTTTTTGCATGTTGACCATCCAAATGGGTGTGAACTAGCCAGTGGTTAATGGTTTTGAAGTAATGTAATAATAGTTTTTTTTCTTTACTATCTGGAGCCGTGTGAACTAAAAAGCTATTACTTAGTAGAATTTAATCTCTGTAGAAATGATTTTGCAAAAGTTAGGAAACAGAATTGTGCATTTGATAAACTTTAAGCCACGGGCCTGTGCCAAGACCACTGCTTTAAGGTGGGGCAAACCTGATTTTGCTTGGCTCATTTCCTCTTCCAATAAATGTCCATTGAGTGCCTACACTATGTGGACAAGATAGTTTTCAACACTGAAAGGCTCTTCTCTTGGATATTGTAGTCTAATATTAGGGAGACATAGCCTGCAAGCATAACATACAAGAAAAGGTTAGACGAAGGAACTAGATGGAGAACTGAGTTGGCACAATGCAGTGTGTGCCTGATCTTCAAAGGTACCACAGAGAGGTCAGTCACTGTTTCACTCAGCCATGTACGAGAATGAGTGTCTGCCTTGCACGTCCCCAAAGCCTCTTCCAGCACTGCACTGTTTTCTTCTTCTTGGTATGCATGGGAAATAGGTGTGCTTTGGGCTTTACAGTTTATCACCCTCTGAGAACTCAGAGTTGAGGGCGTGAGGTACCATGATGGGGATGGGCTGGGAGCTGACAGTGGTTTAAAGCCTTCTGGCCAAAACCACAGTTCATTTTTATGGGTCCCCCATCCTCAAGATCTTGTCTTCAGCAAGTGTCCTCTGTCTTCTTGCTCTTGCTACTGCCTCAAAGCCTTTCTCATTATTTTCAAATGATTTCTTTGTGGTCTCTTTTGCTTTGACTCTGGGCTCTTCTAATCCTTCATTTACCCAGCTGTTAGACAAATCTGTTTAACAACACAAATCTGATCATGTAAGTCCCTCACATGCTGAAAAGCCTTCAAATTGGCTTTTTCAAGCTTTCAAACCAGCTCGAGTGCATTTTCTGATCAGCTAAGACACTCCTAAGCCCTATCCTGGTAGTCTAACATCACTGTGGCCCCCTCCCCAGCAGACTGCCCGGCTCCTCACCAAATCAAATTGCATACATTCGCCCTCTCACAGCGCTCGACTTTCAAATGTACAATTTCCTCTGCTTGGAATGCCCATCTTTCTCCTAATTCCTTGAATTAGCATATCCAATTCATGCTGCTTTAAAGTGTGTACTGCTTTACCTTCAGGGAGCTAGACAGCAAAGTTCTAGTGATATGTAGACGAGTCCTTCTTCAGACTCATGAAATAAGGGAAACAGCTACCTGTGGATCACACCAGTGTAATACAGTTAGGCTGGTGCATACATAGGAAGCGCTTGGGTTGCAATGGAGATGCAAAGAAAGCTTCCTGGAGGCGACACCAACCGAGCTTGAGCAGGAAAAGGGTGTTCAGAGAACAAGAACCACAGGCCTAGAGGTGTGGAGCAGCCTACTGCAGATGCAAGAACAAACAATCCTACTCACGATGGCTCTCAGTGTCAGAGGGTGAGGCTGTAAAATCAGTCCTCTCAGAGTGCCTGAGGTAATCATTTTTAGTGCAGAGAGCAGGACGGATGACTCTCCCATTGAGGAGCCAAACAATTTACAACAGATACACTGTCCACATCTCCTCTCTGCAAACCAGCAACATCATCTTCACCCTCTGCCTGCCTTCTTCTGACTGTAGCTTGACTCATCCAGCTCGGTGCAGTGAACCTGCCCTTCATGCAGAGGCTGGAAAGGTCAGACTTACACCTCTAGGCACTCTCTGTGCTGAAATTTTCCAAGCAGAGGCATCCAAGTTTCCAAGCATCCGTGAGGGAGATGAGTACCAGAGAGCCACGTGTGACAGAGGTTGTCATGCTGTGCACTGGATGGCAATGTCCACGGGTTTCTGGGTGTAGTATAGGACATTCTTCCTGGTGCTCTTGGTAATTGCCAAAGGAATCTATAATAAACCCGTTGCTGTAGTTCATCTGCAGAAAAAAGTGCTGACTGACCCACACTGCTACGCTTTTCTCCACACCTCCACTGAGCACCCAGCATGTTGTCCGTTTCTCTCAGTCAGAGTGGAGTCGCCACGAAGACAGGCTTCTGCTTGTATTTTAGTTTTTGGTCACTCCTGTAAAGTCAGAACCTGGAAGAATATTTGCCTTACAACAGCTGCTCAATAAAAATGTGGTGAATTGATGGAGATTTACAAGCCTTTCAGAATCTAGATGCTACAGGCAGAGAGCCTTACTTATCTTGGCCTACCTCTAGTTCAGTGGTTCACAAAGTCTG